TCCTTGATTCTAGCAACCCTACAATGGAGAGCAGTGCTGCAAGCAGCTATGGGCTGGGCAGAGCTAAGAATGAGAAAATTATCCAAGGATGCTGGAGTCTAACTAAATGCCATGAGCAGGCCAAGCAGATAGTATTGAAAAAAGACATAAAACCAAAATTTTACGCTGTGACTTGTCCCAGAGTGAAGGACACATAATAATGGACTCAAGTTACAAGGAACCATATTTCAGTTGAGTATCAGGTAAAACCTCTGAACTGTTAGAACAGTACAACAGTGGAACCAGTTACCTGGGAGATGGCGAGCACTCCAACTGCCTGGTCAGGTAGGATCTCTCAATTTACAATAGCAACTATTGACATTCTCAAATCCCCACTGGATTTAGGTGTAATTCCTGCTGTTCAAGAGACCTGTCCTCTGTTAAAGAATATTTCTTTTTATTAAGAAAATAAAGTAGTTTCATTAGAACACAGTTGTTGCATTAAAAAGGCTTTAAGCATTAGGCATATCCAGTAGTTACAATGATTAAATAAGTTCACTATTCCTAAGTAAAATAATAACAGTTAAAACTAAGCTAAGTAATCATCTTTGCTCTCTCTACATGTTATCATCTAGAAGCTGGGCTATTTCGCTCCCCACCTTCACAAGACAAACCTCTCACATTCCACGACATTCACCAACCAACCAACCAACGAACCTCAATCACATACATGTACAACCATTTCTACATGTCTCTGGACCACCTTCCTTATGACATGTCCAAGCTGTTAACCAATTAACAGCAAGTGAGAGTAACTCAGTTCACTGCCCACATTTCACATGAGAAGATTCCAAACCCAGGTAGCTTATATTTTCCCAATTAAGGGGTGTGCCGTTTTCATTTTCTCTGGGCCTCCACGGCCTTGCTTCCTTATCTTCGTGCCTGGCAGCACAATTCTAACATTTCAGTGCTTTCAAATTCATCTTACACTGGACCTAACAGACTCCATCTTTGGAGACTTTAAACCTGTTGCCCTTCTTCTTCTCCTCCAGTTTACAAACATACCTAACTCCCCTTTCTATAACTTAAATCAAAGTCTCTGCTTCGTGATGGTATCCAGTCAGCACACAGTCCTTTGTTCACTAGTTCACACCTCTCTTGTAACTCTCCACTGCTCTGTCTCTTGTTCCCAGGCTGAGATGTGACCTTGGTTCTTCTCCACAACCAAAGCTGGGTCTCAGGCTGAGATGGAACACCTGCAATCTCTGGCAAACAAGTACTACAAAACCCATATCCTCACAGTTGCATTTGGACAGACCACAAGATTTCTGGGTCCTTTGGACAGATAAAACCAAAGTGGAGATGTGTGGCCATAATGCACAACATAATGTTTGGTGAAAACCAAACACAGAGCATCAGCACGAACACCTCACATCAACTGTCAAGCATTATGGTGGAGGGGTGATGATTTGGGCTTGTTTTGCAGCCACAGGACCTGGGCACTTTGCAGTCATTGAGTCAACCAAGAATTCCTCTGTATACTAAAGTATTCTAGAATCAAATGGGAGGGCATCTGTCCAACAGCTAAATCTTGGTCGAAATTGGGTCATGCAACAGGACAATCCGAAGCACACCAGCAAATATACAACAGAATGGTTGAAAAAGAAAATAATCAAAGTGTTGCAATGGCCCAGTCAAAGTCCAAACCTCAACCTGATTGAAATGTTATGGCAGGACCTTAAGAGAGCTGTGCATAAACAAATGGCTGCAAACCTCAATGAACTGAAGCAATGTTGTAAAGAAAAGTCGGCCAAAATTCCTCCACAATGATGTGAGAGACTGATAAAGTCATGCAGAAAATGATTATTGCAAGTTACTGGTGTTAAAGGTGGTTTTATAAGCTATTGAATCATAAGATGTACTTATTTTTTCACAAGTGGCTTTTTAAAAAAACATGATTGTATGTTACTTATCTTGGTGCATTGGAAGAGGCTCACTACTATTTCACACTTATCACTCTTGAAGGAGAGGTCACACTCCTGGAGCATCAGCAAAGAATACTCCCTCTTTTCCCCATTTCTCACTACCACTGTGTTTTTGTTTGTTTGGCTGGTTGGTTGGGGTGTTTTGTACTACAGAGTAACTTCCTGGATAAATTTTTCATAGTAACTTCCTCTTTATCAGCAGGATTTTCTATAAAGCTCAATAATTTTGCACCATTATTGTGAGCTGGTATGCCCAGATCATCCTTCTTAGGACTGCTTTTTCTGTGTTGAACTAGAATGGTTCTTGGATAGCAGAGAGGCAGTCTGGCATGAAAAATATCCTTGAAGATTTGCTGGTTTAATAGAGGCTGCGAAAACCTCCTATCTGTTGGTGGCATAACTTTGAGATCTCAGGATCCTCTGTTCTACAATAAGGTGGCAGAGTAGGACTTTGTGGAAGAGCCACTAGATGTGCCACTACTACTACTACTACTACTACTACTACTACTACTACTACTACTACTACTACTACTACTACTGCTACTGCTACTGCTACTGCTACTGCTACTGCTAATGCTAATGCTAATGCTAATACTACTAATACTACTACTACTACTACTACTACTA